AATTGTTAACTATTGTTAAATGTTAGTATCTAAATAGGTATGTTTATATTTTTATGCTTCAAACCAAAACAATTTCATTTTTAGACATTTTCTTATCATTTAAATATTTGTCCGTATTTTTTTCTACGTTTTTCTAACCCAACAGTTGTTTTTCTGATGAATCTACAATGACGCACTTTGTTTGGCACAATGCCAAGAGAGCGGAGAATAATAATGGCAACACTGCCAGCAATTTATTCGAATTACATAAGCCTTATATAATGAGAACAGAGCAGCCGTTGGCAACAACAAAGCCCCCACACTCAGAACAATGCCGTTATTTGCAAATGAAACGAGTGAACAGAAATACAAGCCAAGCAACAACAACAACTACTATTATGAGAGCAAGTTGTCACACTTTCTCCCGTGCTCCTCCACATGCCACCCATTCAAACGTCTGGGATCATTCTTGTATGGCCTCACCAGCCAGCCAGTCAGTCAGCCAGCCACAACATTCATAATTTGGAGAATTTCGAATGGAAACGACAAATGTTGGCGCTCAACTAACGAAAGTAAATCTATGCATGCACATTCTCGCAGTTTGCAATGACAATTCGTGGAACGAGGCAACTTATGTTGGAGGTGCTTGCTGCTTATCGATGCAACAACGCCAGTTAACCTCAACGAACGGCAGTGCCATGCATAATTGAGACGCCACCAGCAGTACTACAGAACACTCCACGACGAGTGCTCTCCACACAGATGTTGTTTTGGGGACGTTGGGTAGCTCTCAGAGATTTTTTTTGCATTAACAGACTCAGCTGAAGTTAACACGACTCGGCTGGCGATTGGGGTTATACTCAGGCACACAAACAAATTTGTAAAATGTAAGTCAATAGGCCTGTTTGAGATTGAACAAAAAAATGGGAACAGTGGCCCGAGGAGATTTAAACGCATCGCAATAATATAACAAGTAAAAAAGAAGCTAAGTTTGGTCGGGACGAACTTTTTATACCGTCCACCATTCGAAAGGAACATGAAAATTTTCAAAAAAATCCGCCGAAAGATACCGATCAAATAAAAACCTTTATATAGGGGCTATACGAAGAAGTGGTGCTATATAAGTAATTTTCTGTCACAGGCTGTAGTGCCGATTCCAAACTTCAAATACGAAATTCGAAACAATTCCGGTGAATAAAGTCTCCAATATTATCAAAATACCGAAAAAAGGCAGGTACCGTTGTATGGGGGCTATACTAAGACCTGCATAGACATAGGTTGTCGTACCCATTACGAACTTCAAATACGAAATTTGACGCAATTCCGGTTAATAATATTGCGTAAATCCTGAAAATAGCGAATATCTGGGGGTACCCTTATATGTATGTGTGCTATACTAAAACGTAGACCTATATATACAACTCTCTTCTAGGGTGTAAAGAACTCTTTGTGTGGATTTTCCAACTATTGCATTGAAAAATGTGGCTAAAATCGTCGAAAACCAAATATCGGAGTCACCATTGTATGAGAGTTATACGACATCTGGATCTATATAGAAAATTTCCTTTCTGGGAGTAAAGTACACACAGAGAACTTCTTGTGTAGAATTGCAGACAATGCCATTGAAAAATGTGACTAAAATCATCAAAATACCGAATGTCGGGAGGTCCAGTTATATGAGGGATATACGATATCGTAGGGGGGAGAGTATTCATAAGGAACCTCTTGTATGGATTTTAAGCCAATTCCATTGAAAAATGTGGACCAATCGTGGACCTATATATAGACAATTCTTTTCCAGGGAGTAAAGTACCCACAAAGCACTCCTTGTGTATAATTTTAATACCCTTCACCATAGTATTAAGTGCATATATGTAAAGTTTGTCATTCCGTTTGCAAGACCTGGAAATATATATTTTAGACCCAATATACGAGTAGTATATATATTCGTGATCAGAATCAAATTCTATGCCGGCTTAGCGATATCCGTCTGTCTGTCTGTCCGCCTATGGAAATCACTCTAGCTTCCGATCGAAATGAAGTAGGATGATAACATTTAGTATTGAAAATGAGCCTACGACAGAATTGTTTCACGTTTCGTATTTCATGTTCCTAATAGGTACTACAGTCCATGACAAAAATTGCAAGTAGGACCACGCTTTCGTGTAGACCCCATATTACAGTACCTCCCTATATCCGTTTTTTTTGATGATTTTAGTGACATTATTTACCGGATCTTCGTATTTGATGTCAGGTGTGAAAATGGACAATATCGGTCCACACCATCAAGTACCTCCTCCACAAATGGTCAACATTTTGAATAATTACAACTCTTATAAAATGTGATGTATGAGTCTGATTGTCTTCAAACTTCACACATCCCAATAACTGTATTAGCCCAAGGTATGGTGATAAGATGGAATATATCGGTCCACTCCTTCTGGTACCTACTCCAAAAAAGGTCGAAATTTTCAAAAAAAAAAAAAAAAAAAAAAACGGAAAAAAATATTTTCTGCACAGAAAGAGAAGCAATGATCCAACTTTGCAAAATCCTAATATTTGCCTTAGTTCTCTGTCAGGTGCAAAAACGGATAATATCGGTCCACTCCATCAAGTGCTTCCCCCACAAAGGGTCAACATTTTGAATAGTTATAACTCTTATAAAATGTGATGTTAAAATCCGATTGTCTTAAAATTTCACACATCTCAAAACACCAAGATCTGGTGTTAATATGGAATATATCGGTCTACTCCTTCTGGTACCTCCCCAGAAAAGGTCGAAATTTTAAATATCCATTCAGCTCATCGGAATGTTTCTATCAACACAGGATCTGTTATAAAAACGGTGGATATGGAGTCATTCCTTCTGGTCTCCCCCACAAAGGGTCAAAATTTTGAATAACCAAAACGTTTATAAAATGCGAAATAAGCATCAGGTTCTCTTTATATTTCACTCATCCCATTATTTCCACTAACAAAAGATCTGTTGTGATGATGGATATATCGGTCCACTCTTTCTGGTACCTCTCCCCCACAAAATAGCTCAAAATTTTGAAAATCCATGAAGCTCATAAAAGGCGAACTTAACATCCGATTCCATTACTTTTTACTTGTTTTCTTTTTATACCCTACACCACAAGGTGGTCAGGGTATTATGTCTTTGTGCATTTGTTTGTAACAGGCAAAAGGAAACGAGGTAGACCCATAGTATAGAATCACATTCTGAGTCGATTTATGCATGTCCGCCCGTCCGTCCGTCTGTCCATGTATTTTTGTAAACAAAGTACAGGTCGCATTTATTGCCCGATCCATTGATGAAATTTTGCACAAATCATTTGTTGGGCCCAAGGACGAACCCTATTGAAATTGGAGATAATCGGTCAAAATTTAGCTATAGCTCCCATATATATCTTCCTCCGATTTGCCTTTTATTGTGCACCAAACGTGTAATAACAGCCCGAATTGTATGGAATTTTGCATATACACCAAAATTAGGCCTGAAAAAAAGTATGCCAAATTTTATCGAGATCGGTTCAGATATAGCTATAGCTTCCATATATATTGTTCATCCGATTTGTTACTTTTGTCCTCCGCAGCCGTAATATGCACTCTGCAACAAAAATATTTGGGGAAATATATCAAATACAGCTCAGAAATACATTTGCTTAATTTTATCGAAATCGATTCAGATTTGGATATAGCTCCCATATATAACTCCGTCCGATTTACCTTTTATTGTGAACCAAACGTCTAATATTTGTCTAAATGGGATGGAATTTGGCACTTACGACCGAATTGAGTCTAAAAGCTAATATTGTCAAATTTGGTGAATATCGGTTCAGATATAGCTATAGCTTCCATATTTATTGTTCATCCGATTAGTTGTATTTGTTACTCACAGCCGTAATATGCACTCCGTAACAACGATATTCAGGGAAATATATAGTCCTTTGAACTTTAAATCATAGCGTGTATGATTGAATTCTCCCATAAAAACTTTTAATTGTTATGTGGAGCTCTACTAAATTAGCAAAGTGGTGTAGGGTATCATAAAGTCGGTCCCGCCCGACTTTAAGACTTTCTTTACTGGTTATCTTTTAAACTTGTTTTCTTACCTATAGGACTCGAATAAGACTCAGAAAAGTGATTCTTTCAAAAACAATCTTTTAAATGCTAGCTGGGTTATTGCACCATTGTACCACTGTAAGAATACTTTTGGAACACATCTATGTACATACACAGTGAACAGAGAGTACGATGGAGTCAAATAATTGAGTGGACACGAGGACGTTTGTGGTTCGGTTGGGTGTAAAGCGCAGAGTAGAAAAATGTTATGTTTTTATTTGCAAACATTCTTTGCACTGAGACTTCAGTGTTGCTCCAAATCTCCTTAAGATCACTTTTGTTTTCATTTGGAAGTGAGTGGTGGTGGTGGTGTTTCGTTCTCATTCATTATTTGACCGCACGCTGACAATTTGCAAATTAAGTTGAGTTTGCAGATTTGTGAGAACCCAGCCAAAAAAAAACGTGTAAAATTGTTGATATCAAAAGAAATGTTTATTTAAATTTGCATTACACAAAAGGACGAATAAATGAAAACATAAAATGTGTTTACAAAAGCTTCACTATTAAATATAAACAAAACGAGGAACAAGAGTAAACAAATCACGTGCCCTGCGCTCAGTACGTCAAAGAGAACAAAGAGAGAGAGAGAAACATAGTTCATCTCTATTGTGTATCGCAAATATTTTTGTAAATAAATTGATTTTTGTAAATAAATTTAATTGCTTTATTTACATCGCAAATTCCAAATTCCATTAAACTTACTAAGACAACAAATCTGTTTAACATTAACGTCGGCTGGATTTCCGAATTAAAAGTGTGGGAGGCTTCAACCCGGGGGTGATGAACAACAAACATTCTCTGTGCTATATATATATAGATTACCGTACGCTGCAGTTCTTCTCATAACATTATCTCTATATCAGTAACAATTCCAAAAGGGTGTTTACAATGCCGTCGTCTGGTCGTGATAGGCCTCGAGCATATTCTCGTAAAACTTCTACAATGTTTCAGGCAAACATTATGGATTTGTCGATGAAAGGTAAGTACCTATTTATAATCGGTAGAATGTATATTTGTTCAAAAACCTAATAAAGAGGAAAAAAACATAAATAAAACATACGCTACTTTTACCCACAGTTTCTGACTGTCCTCATTAAAGGATGACAAAAATATGAGGAGAGGACAAAATTCGAGGGAGACCGACTATATTAGGGTTGCCCATATTCGACGGACCCATCTGGCAACGCCATAACTTTTGACAGAAATGTCACATCGCTTAATGACATACCGCGTTTGAAGCGTCAGTCCAAGCAGATTTTTACCATGAACCAATACACGTTACGCGAGCGCTCTGAAATAGTTGAAATTTACTTTCAACAGAAGAAGTCAATTGTGAAAACTCAACGTGCTTTTACAACATTAAAAAATGTGAGAAGTACGCCTTCTAAGAACACCATTAAGCGTTTATACGAAAAATTTTCGACTGGCAAGGCTCTTTCTAATCCGAAGAGGCCATATAAAAGTCGACCAAGGCGATCGGCCGAGAATATCGCTGCCGTACGAGCCAGTGTTGAGAGGTCCCCAAGAACATCCCAAAAATGCCGTTCTCAGCAGTTGGGCATGGCTCGGTCCACTTTACAACGGATTATTCGCATTGATTTGCATTTGTTCCCGTACAAAATGCAATTGACGCAAAGAATGTTGCCTGCGGACAAGTCTCGTCGATTGGAATGGGCCCAAAAAAACATGGGTCCGTCGAATATGGGCAACCCGGTATTATACTTTATACCATTTTGCATATATAACCGAACTTATTTTTAATAATTTACGGGGTATTCTCTTCACTCTTTGAAATGTATTGAACCCATGTGGGGTAGGTGCCAAAAGAAGTAGAAATGTTGACAAAATCGGATTATCTCCTTACTTCGGATATTCTCTTCCAGGGGTTTTCAATGCACCACATATGCGGCCGGACACTGTTAAATCGCCTTCGCAATTGCAATGGGTCTAGAACATGTAGCTATTTTAAATGAATGAATTTAAAGGCAAGCGTGTGATGTTAATGTTCAGCATTTGTTCCAAACTTCAAGTTAAAAATTTTGTTATTTCTTTTTATACCCTACACCACATTGTGGTACAGGGCATTATGTCTTTGTGCATTTGTTTGTAACATGCAGAAGGAAACGTAATAGACTGATAGTTCCTTTTGAGGACTTCCATAGAATCACATTCTGAGTAGATTTATACAATTCCGTTCGTCTGTCCAAGTATCCAAAGTTGGTAGAATATCCTCTCTTTACAAAATCCACAAACAATTAATTAAAACGTGTAAAAAACATTAAGTTCGGCCAGGCCTAACTTCAAATACTCCCATCATTGGAAAGGGTATTATGTCTTTGTGCATTTGTTTGTAACATGGCTCCTTCTCCATAGATCCATATTTACTTTTTAAGGATATTCATAGAATCACTTTCTGTGTCGTTTTATGCTTCTCAGTCCGTCTGTTCGTCCGTCCGCCCATTTATTTTTGTGAACGAAATGCAGGTCGCATTTATTATCCGATTGAGATGAAATTATCCAAACAATATTTGTTTAGCCCAAAGACGAACCCTATTGAAACTGGTAAGAATCGGTTCAAAGTTAGATGTAACACTCACATATATCTTCAACCGATTTCGTGTTAATTGTGCACCAAATGGTCAATATCTGAATTTTGGCCTATTCGACCGAATTCTGTCTAGAAGCAAGTACATCAAAGTTAGAGAAAATCGGTTCAGATATAGCAATAGCTCTCATATATATGTTTGGGATTTTAAATCTCTCACATGCGTTATATGCACTCCACAAGAATGACATTTTACTTCCAGGAGCTATCCCGCTCGACTTTGAGCGAGTTTCGCTCTTTACTTTAATTGAGGTGTTTGATTTCGGGCGATTTTTTGTACCCTCAGCCTTATGGCTACAGAGGTATGTATCAATTTATACGTTAACAAGTTTAAAAACTGTAAGTTCGGCCGGGCCGAACTTTTAATACCCTCCACCATATGGTACAAATTTGACAATTTCCAAAAAAAAAAAAAAAAAAAAAAAAATAAATAAAATCCGTTAAAAATTCTGTTAAAATCTTAAAAATACCGAATGCCTATACGACGATGTGGACCTGCATAGGCAACTTTTGTCATAAGTTATTACAATATTTAAATGCGAAACTTCAAGAAAAATCAGTTTATAATGTAGCTAAAATCATCAAAACACCGAATATAGGGGGTACCGTTACATGGGGGCTATACGAAGACGTGGACCTGCACAGACAATTTTTTGACATGGGTTGAAGTATCCATTACGAACTTCATATGCGAAATTTGAAACAATCCCGGTAAATAATGTCGCTAAAATCATCAAAATACCGAATATCGGGGGGTACGGTATATGGGGGCTATACGAAGACGTGGACCTACATGACCCATTTTCTGTTTTATGCTGCAGCATCTATTACGAACTTCAAATACCAATTTTGGAACGATTCCGTTAAATAATGTCGCTAAAATTATCAAAAATACAGAATATCGGGGGGTACCGTTGTATAGGGGCTATACGAAGACGTGGACCTACACAGATTATTTTCTGTCTTATGCTGTAGTATCCATTACAAACTTCAAATGCTAAAGTTGAAACAATTCCGGTGAATAATGTCGCTAAAATCATCAAAATACCGAATATCGGGAGGTACCGTTATATGGGGGCTATATGATAACTAGGGCCTACGTGGCCCATTTACGAACTTAAAAAATTTTAGCCTTCTATCTCAATTTGTTCGAAAGATAGCGTGATTACAACAGACAGACAGACGGGCATGGCTAAATCGTCTTAGAATTGTACGCTGATCAAGAATACATATACTTTGTTGGGTCTGACATGAGTATTTCGCGGAGTTACAAACGGAATGACAAAATTAATATACCCTCCATAGTATGGTGGAGGGTATAAAAAGAGCCTTATCGAAATAACTGTTTTAGAACCTAGGTCCCTTTGGACCAAATCTGTTTCAAGACATTTGGCCTCTAGCGATATCCGTCAGAACAAGAGGGGATTATTCAATTTTGTTCAAATTTTACAAGCCCCAATATTTGTATCAGTGCTATGGACAATATCGACCCATGATGGAAAGGTACATCCCACGCAAAAGGTCAAAATATTGAATAATTATAACCCTAAAAAATACGAAATAAGTATCCGATTCTCTTCAAATTTCACACATCCCAATATTTTTGTTAACACAAGATCTGGTGTAAATATGGGATATATCGCACACTCCTTCTGGCACCTCCCCCACAACGTGTCAAAATTTCGAATACTTATATTCCCTATAAAATGCGAAATCCAATAATTCCGATCCTGTTCAAATTTCACACGTCCCAATCCTGCACATGTTAATTTAAGTTCTTATGCTTCTTTTATCATTTGCAGAATTTTGTTTTTATCCTCTTTCCTGTTTCCCTAACAGAACTAACTGCATGATATTGTATGTGTGTATATATAATGATTTTCGGAAATTTTTTAAATGATTTACATTTGCAACAACATCGATCAATTTTTGCTGAATAAATTTATTTAACATTTTATTGACTCGGTAGTTTATTTGTTTGTCTTATACAAACTGTAAATTTGGAAACTTTGATTAATACGAAAGAAAAAAGTATATAAAAAATACGCTACAAAATCAAATAAAGACAGAAAATGTCAATACAAGTGAACAAACAGATACCTTAAATGTGAGCAAATATTGGAAAAGAGAATTATCAATGAATATCGTCTACTTGGGGCTCAAGATGGATACATAAATTTGTACCGTGCATACCGTGTTGTACGAAAATGACGTTACGAATTTGTTTGAAACTGATAACTGTTTTTCATTAGGGGGACAATTTGAATACTGTGAGGGAAATCTGGATGGTATTCCAAAAAAATCGGCCATACCATTGCACAGTGGTCGCTGCCATTGGCCAAAATTCAAAAAATTAAAATCAGATATTCATTGTCAAATGTGTACACCTGAACTCTTAAAAGGTTAAGCTTTTTAGAAAACATAATTATCTTGACTTCATTCTAACGGCCCACTTCGAGAACAGCATCAAAACAGAGAAAATGTAGTTAGTTGCTTTTTTCAGTGGGATCAGTGAAAAAGTGGAGTAAAAATAGAACTGTATTACAAATATAAATTTATTTTAAAACGACAAATCTTGGCATTATTATTGAAAAGCAAGGTATTGACTTATTTTTAGTGCAGTAATTTGTGTGTTTAATAGTTGGGTATAATATAGAAGATGTGAGTTATCTGAGTTGCCTTTAAGATTAATTTTGAAAAGTAAAATTGGATTTCAGATAAAGTTTTAATTATTTTCCCCCCTGAATCCTCCAATGTGATTTTTTTCACGCCATTAGTAATGGCCCTAATATTCTAAAAGTGCTAATTTAACTTTCAGATTTTGTCAGATTTGTATGTTATGCCCAATATACTGAAGTGACTTCGCTGCAATTTTGTCAGTTCTATGGTGCTAGTGACATAGAATATGTTTTTGTTGTTTGGGATTGATAGGGATGTAACTGAGTGGTGTTCAATAATGTTGCAAGCATTGTCTTCTGATTAATGCCGAACAATTTAAGGCCTTTACACTGGAATCTGCTAAACAGTTAACAAATAGATATCCATGGCACTATCTTCCACCCACAGTTCATAAAATTTTAATACATGCACCCGACTTTAGAAATTTGTCATCGTATAGATTAGATAATTATAGGAGGAGGCCGTGGAGTCTAGAAACAAATATATAAAAAAGTTTCGACTAAATCATATCCGAAAAAAGTCTCGTGTTTCAACAAACACAGATCTTATTAACCGTCTTCTTCTGAGCTCTGACTCTTTTATAACGGGACAGCGAACGTTAGCAAACAATAACCAGTAAAGAAAGTCTTAAAGTTGGGCGTTGCCGACTTCATGTTACCCTACACCACTTTGCATATTTCGTAGAGCCTCACATAACAAATAAAGGTTTTAATGGGGAATTTGTGAGAATTAAATCAGACCAACTATGATTAAAGTAATAATAAAAAGTCCAAAGGAACTAATATATGGAAGGAGTATCCTCCTCTGAATCGATTTCTACTAAACTTGTCGAGACATTTGCGCCTTTTCAATTCGGGCTTGTATTATCCATTTGGTGCAGAATTATCTTGAAATCGGATAGATATATACGAGAGCTATATCTAAATCTGAACCGAACTCGATAAAATTTGACAAAGGTATTTCAGAGTTGTATTTGATATATTGCCCCGAATATCGTTACTACGGAGTCCACATTACGGCTATGCAGAGCAAATTCAACAAATCGGATGAACAATATGTGATATAACAATATGAGCTATAGCTATATCTGAATCGATTTCCACCAAATTTGACATACTGGTTTCCAGACTCAATTTGGCCGTAAGTAGCAAATTCCATTCCATTTGGGCTAATATTACACGTTTGGTGCACAATAAAAGGCAAATCGGACGAAGATATATATGGGAGCCATATCCAAATATTAACCGGTCTCGATAAAATTAAGCAAGGGTATTTCTGAGTTATATTTGATATATGTATATCCCCAAATATCGTTGTTACAGAGTTCATATTACTGCTGCGGTGGACAAAAATAACAAATCGGATGAACATACTTATTTTCAGGTCCAATCTGGTCGTACGTATATTCCATACTATTTGGGCTGATACAAGTTTGATGCACAATATAAGGCAAATTGGATGAAAATATATATGGGAGCTATACCTAAATTTTGACCGATTATCTAAAAATTCAATCGGGCCCTGGGTCAAACAAATTATTTGTGCAAAATTTAACTTTGATTTAATTTTATATTGAATTGTTATTTTATTTTGTTTACAAAAAATCAAATTTGGAATTGATTTATATAAAAAATACTTCTATTTTTGGAGATATCTTTACAGGGGGACCCGCAGGTAAAGGCGGGCCGTTCCAAATAATTTTCAGTAAGATTATTTTTTAACTCCTTAGAACGTAAAATGTCAAATCACATTACAATCTGGTGTAGAAATGTGACAAGAATTGGGCAAATAACCCTTATTCGGGAGGTACATTGTAAGGAGACCATGCCAAAACATGCATCGACCATATCCATTTTGTCACATTTTTTATTTTTATCCCATCAAGGTACCATAACCAAGATTTATATTGATATGTGCACTGAAAGTATTTTTGGCCGCTGTTCCCATACGACCTCGACCACTGTGCATTGGGATTGAATATTAGGTCCACTTCCAATTTTACCAGTGAAATCGGTTGGAAAAAAAATTTTAAAAATAGCGTAACGTAGATAGTACTGATTTTCTGCTACCGTGGTTATTATCCAGTTGGTTATCTACCAGGTTTAAATACCAAATTTGAAAAAATGTAACAGTGTGTCTACAAGGATGATACAAAAATCATGAGCCTATTCCAGCAGTCTTCTGCAACCCATAAAAGAAAACATCACAAACTCTGCATACCGAATTTTAAACGATTCAACTTAAATGACACTGAAGATACATGCACTCGATTAAAATATTTTTTTTTTTTTCGAAAATTACAGGACATTAGTGAAAGCAGACAAGTTAAAAAGCGGTAAGTTCGGCCGGGCCGAACATTGAATACCCTCCACCATTTGAAACGAATTTGGAAGTTTTAAAAAATAAAATGCTTTAAAAATTCTGTTTAAATCTTAAAAATACCGAATAAATCCATTACATTGGGGTCTTTACGACGTGAACCTATATATGTTTTGTTTGTCATAAGCCATTAACATATTCAAATTCAAAACTTGAAACAAACGGTTAATAATGAGCTAAAAGCATCAAAAAATTCGGTGAGTATTGTACCTAAAATCATCAAAATACCGAATATAGGAAGGTACTGATATATGGGGCCTATACGAAAACCTGACCTGCATACACAATTTTCTGTCACAGACTGTAGTTCTCATTACGAACTATAAATACGTAATTTGAGGCTATTCCGGTGAACAAAAATACAGAATATCCGGAGGTATATGGGGGCTATATGACTTGCACAGACAATTTTCTGTCACAAGCTGTAGTATCCATTAAGAACTTCAAATACCAGATTTGAAATAATTCCAGTGAATAATATCGCTAAAATAATCAAAATACCGAATATAGGGAGGTACCGTTATATGGGGGCTATCTGAAAACGTGGACCTACATGGCCTATTTACGAATTTAACCTGCATACTAGCAAAATAAACATGTGTGCAGACTGACAGAGGGACATGGCTAAATTGACTTAGAATTTTACGCTGATCAAGAATATATATACTTTGTTGGGTCTGAGATGAGTAATTCGAGGAGTAACAAACGGATTGACAAAGTTAATATACCCTCCCTCCCGGCCTTCAAACGTGCTATGCGGTATTTTGGCCCATTCCCGGCGATGCGCTTGCTTGAGCTAATCAACACTTTGGTATTTTTTAGTGCCAACCTTGCTTTCTAAAATACTACAGACACACTAGTCCAACGGATTGGTATCCGGAGATTTTGGTGGCCTTTGTGCGCTGGAAATGAAGCGAGGAAGCTCATTTTGTAACCATTCTTGGGTGGCGCGTGCTGAGTGCGATGGTGCTGAGTCCTGTTGGAATGTCCAAGGTCTGCGGCAAAAATGTTTGCGTGCCCAAGGCTTTAATACACCCTCCAGAATATTTTCGCGATAATATTCCGCATTTATTCTAATGCCACGGTCGATTAATACGAGCGGAGAGCTACCATCGGCTGTTATGGCGGCCCACACCATCACCATGGCCAGCGCTTGAGTTCTGGTGGCCAACCGAAGGTTCACATTTTCAACTGACCTCATTGGCATGTAAACACGATCATTTTGTTTGTTTACAAACTGCTGGATAGCGAATGTTTTCACATCGGAGCGGAGAAAACCAAATGCGGCAGTTCACTACTTTCGGACAAGCGAAGTGACTCTTTAGCTCTTTTGAGTCTATTATCTTTCTGTTGCGGTATAAGTTCTTGCACTTTTTAGATTTTCGGGGTTCGATCATGTCGCTTCTTTACTTTTCTAACCATTTCTGCTGATGTTGCTGTTATCTTCCGTCCACTTCCTTGACATCGGGCATCACGGTAACGGGCGATGGTACGAGACACAAACGATCTCTTCACATTTAAATACAGGAGCCATTTGTAGTTTTCCAGCCAAATATAAGGAAATCACACTATCACGCTTAAATTCCATCACAAATAGCTTTCTTTCTGGAAAATTCTCACCAAAATGCTTTTGTACGCTTGTAAACAATATAATGAACTGTCACTGGACTTATTTTAACAGCTGTCGGACGAGTGGCTTGGAAATGACAGCAGTCTGAAGTTTGTTGCAGTTTTTTCATCTCACCCTGTACTAAGTGGTACTACATTGGGTATCGGGTGAAGAAATAGAGCTGGAATACCGAAATTTGATATTGATGTCTTAATTGGTATCTTGATATACGGAGGTGGTTTTTGAAATGTGTGCGATAATTGTACGAAAAGTACTAAATAGTACCAAATTTGGTATTGGATGAAGGATAGAGATGAAATTCAGAAATTTGTTATCGAGGTCACGCTGGTATGTATTTTTGAGAGAAGGAGGTGAATTTCGGTACTCAAAAAGAACAAAATGGTAATAAATCTGAAGTTGAGTGAGGGATGGAGTTGGTTGTTAGTTTTATGGATTTAGATATGGTGGTGGTCAATCTTTATTATGAAAAGAGGTTAAAACAATTTAAAAATTTATGTAAAACAATGGTTTAAATAGGGAAAATAGGGAGGTACCATTGTATTGGGGCTATTCCGAAACGTGGACCTAGATGGCCCATTTTCAATACCAAAAGTCCTGCAAATATAATATACATTTGAGTAAAATTTATACTTTGTGGGGTCTAAAATGTATATTTTGAGGCGTTACAAACGGAATGACAAACTTAATATACCCTCTATACTATGGTGGAGGGTATAAAAACATAGTAAATATTTTAGGATTGTTAATAATTTAGAAATGAATAATAGTACTTTGATATTGCACGGTTACTGTTGTGTGGTCGAGCAGCTCTTTGCTCGAGGCGCTCTTTGTTTAACTCCTTTGTACTCTTATTGCCGTACGGTAACGTTTGGGCGTAATGGCACCTTTTGTAATCCATCTATTTTTGGCACCTTTGTAATCCATCTGTCACCTTTTGTAATCCATCTATTTTGCTACATTTAATAAACTGACAGATGGATAAACATTAACCCATTAAAATATTCATTCCAATATTTCGAGTTGTTACTAATTCAATAATAAAATTAAACCTCGTAAACATACCATTTGTCATAGGGCAAAATTTTAAAGTAATGCAAGTCCAACGATTACGTCGATTAGTCGACACTGGACAATAAATACCTAAACTCGCCCTGGGTTAACTATTATCTGTGTCTGGGGCTAAATTAACAGGTTGTGACAAAGTTCAAAATGATTAAAATCAGCTTATGCGTGCGAAATACAAAAACTATACCGCCCAACAGTTAGTCAGTCTGTTGGTCGCAGTTAGACATTATCGACTGATACTCGACATATTTAGCTGCTGTGTACTACGATTGTTATGCGTATATTAAGTGGCATATAAATACATACAAATATTTATGTGCAGATAGATATTCGTACAGGGTACGAGAAACTATGTACTCAGCCAGTTTTCCTTTACATAAATATATTTTGACTTGTGATTCAATTTATTTTTTATATAAATATTTGTATTTATTTATTTTTACATATTTATTTATTTATTTTTATTTATCTATATATATATAAAAATCAAATGTTGTTCGTTAGTAATGGAATCAGTTGAGAACGGCTGGACCGATTTGCATAATTTTTTATACAAACGTTCGTCATACCCCGAGTTAGGTTTTTAAAGAAAAATATTGACCTCGCCTACTTTTATGCCCACTATTCCGAAAAAAAACAAAATGTGACCACGCCAATTTTACGCCCATTTTTTCAATTTACCTACAATCATAATATTTGCCAAAATCATGAAGATATCTATTCCACAGCTGGTATGCGACGTAATCTTGACTCCCCCTTCAACCCTAGGTATCTATTTGGGATCAGAGGAGCAGGCCACACTATATTTTTAAATTTATATGTAAAAAAATTGAAAAAGTATAGTAACAAATCAGTTGAGAACGGCTGAGCCGATTTGACTCAATGTTTCTTTTGGTTATTTGTAATACAGTGGAAACGTTGTCATGAAAGAACATTTTGAGGAAAAGCTCTAGAAAAATCGCGGAACTGAAAAAATTGAATGTCCTTTTTTGATTTGAAATTTTGTGTAGAATTGTTTCAGAATGCCATTTGAAATTGAATATTTCTATTGAAAAAATCGAGAAGTTCTACATTTTTATACCCTACAACACTATGTGTTGGGGGTATTATAAGTTTGATTGGGCCAGAATTTATGTAACACCTCGAAATATTGGTTTCCCACATAGGAAAGTATATATGGATCTTCCTAGCTCGACGAGCTGAGTCGATCTAGCTATGTATGTCCGTCCGTCCGTCTGTCCGTCTGTCCATGTTAATTTGTAATCACTCTACAGGTCGCAATTATGGTCCGATCTTCACGAAATTTAAAATGGAGGTGGGGCTAGGGTCAGAATAGAACCCTATTTCTTTTGGTGATGATCGCATAATATTTAGGGGTTGAAATGGACCAAAAACTGAAAAAATCCTGATTTTGCACTTGCTCTACAGGTCGCAATTATAGACCAATCGACGCGGAATTTCGTATGTAGCTAGAGTTTAGGGCGGGGAAGAAGCCTACCAATTTGGGTGGTCATCGGATAATGTTTAGCGGTAAAATAGACTATATCTATATGTTGAAAAAATTCAATATTTTTCATTAAACCGCGAATATTTTAAATCCCGGCGAAATCACGAAGCCATGACAAGGTTACTTCTGACCTTTACATTGATGTTAACATCTAACAAATCGGATATATAGCAAAATATGTGCGATATATATGTCTATCAAAGAAGATATGCTTGAAAGATCTCTTATATGTCGAGAACGGCTGAACTGATTTCGACAGTTCTCATTAATTCAGAATGGCCTCTTGGCAGGAAACATAAAACGTCTAAAAAAATCGCATAAAAATATCTCTCTAAAGATGAAAATATTGATTTTGTAAAATTTTCTCATATTTTTTCAATTTTGTCATATTTTTGGCATATTTTCATTTTGAATTAAACATTTGGTAATATTTCTACAGCTAACAAAACTAAGTAGTTAGGATATCAGGATATCATATACAGATCGCATTTATGGGCCGATCCTTACGAAATTTTGCATGGGTATAAGATGAGGGTCAGAATAGAAGCCTATCCTTTTTGGAGATGATCGCAATATATCTATCTGAAATGGACCAAAAAATTGCAAAATTGTCAGCAGGTCGTAATTATCGCACGATCCTCACGCACATTTGAATTGGGGTTACCGGACATTGCTAAAGCCAAGCAGTTTTGGATGGCCATCCAAAAATATTCAATGTGTGAAGGAGTTTGCCAACTTTTATAGACAAAATACGAAAATGTCCATTCCAGTGACTTTTTGGAGAATTCACAAATACAGGAAAGACGCACTTCTGACTATTTCGTTAACGCTGATTTCGTTGAAGAATGTAGTCAAATGTCTGTATCTCATATAGATTCGATTCAGTCAAAAACCAATAAAATTAG